TCTCTCTCTCTCTCTCTCTCTCTCTCTCTCTCTCTCTCTCTCTCTCTCTCTCTCTCTCTCCCCCTCTCTCCCTCTCTACTCTATACTCTGGGCGTGGCCTAACTACCTTGGTGGGGAAAACAAATTGCTTAAAAGAGCATCGACAGCGGCTTGTGGTAATTGTTTGTGGCTGGCTACGCTTCCAAGAGGTTTAGTCAAGGGCTTGTCAATGTAGTGTTCGCTATGTAGTTTGTTGATTTCATAAGAACTCGTCCAATTGGTTTGATATTACTGCTCTAAAAGTTTCCTGAAGAGAAATTAAATTTAGTGGGAAAACTATTCGCTTTAAGGTAATATAATAAGATAATAGGCATTTAAAAGTCCCTCGTGACGTAACCGACCATCCAAGTAAATAGGGCGTCCCAAAAGCTGGGAATGCTGTTGACGTGTGAATACCCAGAAATCCAGGAATCGAATCATAGAATTTCAAAATTAAATTAAAGTTATACAACTTCTGAAAAAAACCAGAAGAACAGTAATTTCGACTTTATTGCATGTCCCTATTTGTTTTCCCGTTTCAGCATCGCTTAACTAATTTGGTATCTGTTGATTTAAAATTGAAACTTTTAGTAAAATTAATAAAAGTCTATTAGAATCGACTTGAGGAGAAATAAGATCTTTGCTGTATTTGTTTCATTGGTTAGTCAAAATCATTGCAAGAGTATGTAGTTACTTGAGATGACCTTGTTAATTCAAGAACACCCATTTAGAAATTATGCACTCTATCAACCCCCCCCCCCCACCCACCCACCCACCTACCCTCCCCTCATATGCTATAAACCATAAAATTCCGTTTTGGAGGGCAAATTAAGCAAATTTCGGGAGGACAGTTAACTCATCTTATATCGGTTTGGGGAAAGGTCAAAAGATATGAAAAAGGTCAAACTTATAAATTTGTTTTCTTCTTGTTATTTTTTAACGGAAAACTTTACAGAATCCTTGAACGGAAGTCGTTTGTCGGATTTTACAATTCCTGTTTGTTGCATTGTTTGCTAAAGTGATAACCAAGAGTTCTAACTCTTTGCTGTAAAGCACCTGACTTACATTATTTAGTGTTCTCTACTTTTTTTATAATGGATCACAGTGCATTCTTTTAGAAATATTTTACAATAGAGATAATCAAGAATTTATTTACGGCTGCATAGCACAAAACTTAGGTGGTAGCTGAAATTGATTAACATGATAATGCTGACAGGTTCGAAAGATTTTGGGTGCAAAATCACCCATTTAATGAGTATCCCTTCTGATTGGATTATTCGGGTTCCGGAATTCAAATTTATCTGTATTTCTTTAATAAACAAATTACTAAGCTAAATTACTAAATACCTTCTTAGTTTCATTTTAGTTGAGATAAATTGTTGGTAAATTTACATTAGTTAACTTATTACTTATGATGGAAGTATCAAAATCATGGGTTGACAGAGATTGGGTCAAAATAATAATTTTGCGCAAACAATGAAAAAATAGTATTTCTTTTTTGAATTGGGCAGAGAGAGTTTCTCATCGTTTCGTGGGAAAAAACATTTATTTAAAAATTATTTTCACCAAATATTACAAATAAACAAAATCTATCTCCTACTCCTCACCCCCCTGATTACCGTTTCCAGTATACTTGATCCTATCTTCAAGACTAGAAGCGCCATCCTACAAGGGGCTTATTTACTGTTAAATCTAAACGTCTGACTATGGAATCATGAGAAGCCTTGTCATTCACACTCTGTCTGTCACAGTTAAAGTAGCCTATCAATATCGTCAATCAGTCAAATTTCGAAAATATATTATTTGGTCAAATGTTCCAAGAAAATAAGCATCTGTGGCTATCATTTGCAAGATTTTCGCCCATAAAATCGCCTGAATATTTTGACTAGGAAAAAACATAACCAGCTCAGTTAAATAAAGTAAATTGTAGAAGACACAGACGGCTGTACTGAGATAAATTAGGATTCTTTCAAATGTTCAACAAAAACAGAATCAGAAGACTTGGAGGTGGGAGTGGCGCAAAGTATACATGTGCTTCCGCAGTAGAAAATAAATAGGGAAACGAAGAGTTCAGACTATATCCATGGTAATTGGGGTGTTTGAAAATGTCCAATAGAGCCAATTGGTATCAGCTGTAAAATTGATATCAATACAAATCGCTCAAATACTAATAAATGGTTGAATTAATTGAATAAAATGAAACTATTTTATCGATAAAATTTCAAATTAACAACTTTTAGTTAATTATTCATAAAATTTGCATAATTTTTAAAAAAATCCAAAATTGTAAGGTTGTTGCCTTGTATAATTTGAAGCAAAGTCCACTATTGTAGGCATTAACATACTATTATTAAGAGTTCTGGCATTTATGATCTATTATAGGGAATAATTATTTTTTATAAACGGCAAAAGCACGCTATTTACCATCTCCGGCGATTTTGCAATTTCGAAAACAAAATAGTACTCGGTTTCTCAACAGAATGTGGATTGCTCAATTACTTGCAGAAATTTACCAGTGATTATACACAGTATCGAAAGTTCGTTCTGCAAAAATTTGGACGAAAGTGTTTCCTAGTTTTTCTAAAATTTCTAAATCCACCGTTACTCATAATTCTTCTGAAAATTGTTTTAATCTTTGAATCTATTCATCTATCCTAAGGTGCTTCCCACTATAACTCCAGTCCAGGCCATCATTATTGAATTCAAGTTCCTTTAACTGGTTCAAAATTGTTGGATGCACATGATCTCAGGCATTCTAGGACATTTTACATCACGGAGGTAACACCTCCATGATTTATTTCCTATCTTACCATACCCAGGCAACAAGTTTGCCTTCAAATGGACATAACGATTTTCGTTAACACTCTCGCCTCATCAAGAACCCACACATTAGCAAAGCACCAAAATTTGCTTGGCAGTGGAACTCTTTTGACCTAATCGCATACATATTTACCATAATACTGCACAGCAATCTCAATTTTTCTGTCCACAAATGTCACCCTGTTCATTTATACTCTATTTGGAAAATTTTGAGAACTAAATGTCTCTTTTTGCGCTCTCACTTAATCACAATCACCTTGACGAGCAATTTGTTCAAAATGCGAAATGAAACTTCCTCGTCTTAGACGCCTATATTTTAGATATGCATGATACCTTATGTTGACGTTCAAATTAAGCTGGGCCATCTCAAAAATCTTTATTTTCGGAAACTAACCATATCTTTTTGACTGAAAATGAATCCGACATAAAGTTGCCTGGGTATATATAAAATATCCCCCCCCCCTCTTGGAAACCGAAACTAAGGCGATCCTGTACAATCATCGGCACAGCAGTTACTCCCAACCCTTAAGAAGACTTCGAAAAGGATTCAAGGTGGTTCCAACAACCCAAATAAAGATAAACATAGAAAAAAATTATAATTTTTCAACACTGCCTTTTTAAAATAAGGCCAAAAATCGCAAAATCTTAGATTAAAAGTGTGCATTGTGAAATACAAGAAATAGCACAAAAAGTAGGCGGTAGATAATGGATTTTACTTTCTATTATTTCAAGTAACTGGGGGTGTGCGATAGACTTACCTCCACGTGGTGCACCCTAAGCAACGTATACCCATACGGCAGAAAAGTCTATTAACCGGCAGTTGACTTCTCACTTCAAATTACTATGACCCCACTTCATATCATATTCGACCCCTTTCAGAGTACTCATCTTACCTTTTCTCTGCCTCTTTGTCTGTCTGTCTGTCTCTGTTACGTCTGTGAATCATTATTCTGTCCCCCCCCCCTTCTCGACTTTGTGTCACTTTGATGTTCCTTCTTCTCTCTGTGAAGCCCGATGTCAGCTAAATGGTTTATGATAACTATCAAAACGCCTGCCATTTGAAATAAATAAAATTTCAAGTAACTCAGCTGAAAATGTTTCAAGGGAGTCGTATAAATGCTCCTTTCATTTATTTGTTTGATTCGTTGAAATACGAAAAGTGAGGTGTAACTTGAAATATTACTCTCTGGAAAGTGCATGTATAATATTCAAACTAAATGCTAACACAGTTGAAAAAATATTTCTACTGAATGAAATATAGACCAACTTTTATGAATAAAGCCAAATTTCCAAAAATATTCGACTGCCTGTTGAATTGGAATCACTTAATACAGACTGGCAATCCTGCATTTATAATTAAAGTGAAATAAACTATATTTTCGAGAGATTGCGACTCGTGCATTTGTTTAATGCATTCATGTTAGACTTAAATTTGTAACGTTAGTAATTCATGGCAGTTAATCTTTGGCCGATTATATAAGCTATATTAAAAAGATATACTCCGTTCTTAAAATTTATGAAGCAGTAAGTAAATATTCTGAATTTTATTGTTCCAATGAAAATGTACTAATAGGAAATTTCAAAAGTTCTTCATTTCCGAGTGACGTGGGAAGAGAAAGACGAGCATAGAATCCTGTGAATCTCAGTGTGCGTTTAATTTAGTTTAAATTTAGTCCATATTGTACTTTTTCAATCAAATCATTAAAACAAATTAGCAAGAAATGTAGAGTAGAATCTTCACTCACTTAGTCAAAGTTAAATCTGATGCTCCCCTTAGTCAAATTAAATGAAACTTTCATAAAAGTGCTTAAATATGTTCCCATTTATAATCCTCACTGTGGGTATTATTTGCTTAAGTAGACTTATTAAGTATTTTTATAATTTTGTCCACCAACTGTAGTACAGCAAATATTCTATTTAGATTTTCATGAGCTTTAAACCCCAAACTATCCCTCGCCGCAGTGGAATCTAGCTCTTTGAGTTCTTCACTTCCACCTCTTTCCTCCTTATTTGAAGTGTCACATCGTACCATATTTATAGATGCTTTCTTATAATTGAAAATCCAAAAATTAACAATTAGCAATAAAAAATAAGGTAAGATAAAAATGTCTAATACCTACCAGCTTGAACAAGATGCTGTGTGGTAGGGAACCGTTTCTTTGCAGCTACGTGAAGACGCGAAGAAGCAATAATAAGGCTAGCATTCATGTACCTGATGAGAGTTCTTCGAATAGCTCTTGCCCTTCCTTCGCCCTGAATAGCTCCAATTACTGCCAGTGTAGGTGTAAAGACCCAGGGTATTGCATTGAATTGTTGCCAAAACCGAGAGAACACCAGTTGTACATAGAAGCCAAGAATGAAGGAGATGGGGATCATCTGTTGGAAATCAAAAACATAAAGGATGACTCTCTCGAACCGCTGTTGCTGCTCCATATTGAGAGCGAATCGGTAGATGCAACTGACCACCGTGTAAGCGATGATAAAGACGATAAAATCGGTGTAGATCAGCTTAATCACACAGCCCCTCCACCTAGAACAACGAATTCATTGTGATTATTAATGGAGCTACGAAAATTCAAGGTTCCGATTGAGTGATCACAGCATACTAAACTCCGGTGATTTTGACAGAAAAAGAACTGCTTTTGAAAGCTCAATTCTGAATTTTCAAGTTCAAATAAGCTGCAAAACATAAAAAATTATCACTTTTTTAAACCTTAGTAAAAGTATATTTTAAGGCAGCAAAGTTAATTGTATTGATTACTCTGAAAAATGAATTGATTTCTTCTTACATGTAAGTACGGTTAGAGAGTAAGCATTTCTCTTTTGAATGCTTAAATTATGAATCAATGTCTATTTTTGACCATAAACGTGTCATAAGAGATCTTGCTTAGAATGATGTTAGTGAGAGTTGAAGACTAGCAAAGCTAATGGTCACCACTAGGCATGAGGATGAGCAGGGGAGAGACAACATTGTTTTTATCCACTAAACGGAAAAAGCATTTCATTATAGAATGTTCGTGGGATTGGGGGTGGGGTTGGGTGGGGGTTGGGGGAGGGGGTAGTTGAGGGTAGATAGAGGAAATCGATAAGCGATTAGTAGCCGAAGGATGGGCCGCATATATAACAGAGTGAAAATGCCAATAACCCACACAAAATCAAATAAGTAAACTCATAAAATGAGTAATCTGATTGGGAGTAACATTTGACAATAAGTTTGAGTTTTAATAAGTTGATGTGTACCGGTTACCCAAGAGATGTGGAATTTCACTATGTCAGTAATTAGTCTCTTTCAGTTTAATTGAGAAGGGAATAGTCTTGGAATCACAGTTGAGTAAATAGTGATTCTATTTGCAATAAAGTATGAATACTTATTAAGAGTGGAAGGAAAAGAATTAATCAAATTTTAAAAATTCGTAGCAAATTTTAAAAAAAATTAAGTTTAAAATTAAATGAGATAAATTAGGGTATCGAAATACTTCATTAACTGTTCTTGGTTAAAAGATATCATTTAATCTTAACTTCAACTAATTTTAAGGTTAAGGTAATAAAAATTCGCTTGTTGTTTAAATTTTAACGCGTTTTTTGTCTATTTTCAAACAAAGTAGTGTGAATTGTTTGCTAAAAACACTGTAACAATATATATAATCAACTTTTCAAGCAGGGAAATCTATTAAATCGGTAGAAAATTTTCACTTTGTTTATTTAGTAGAGCTGAAATTTCATCATACTTATTTAAAATCTACTTAAATTGAAAAATTTATTGAAATTTTGATTTATTTCTCAACAATCTAGAAAAGTACTCATTTTCACATTTTCGTTCGTTGTTACTAGAACTCTGATAAGGTAGACATATGTTTATATGTGTAATTCAATTGGAAGTTGATTAAATGAAGTCCTTGAAAAATATTGAAATCCGTCACTTTAAAAAGAGGAAAGTAAAGAAAAACTAACTTGAACCAAACCGATTTGGTAATTGTAACAGGCTTTGTTACAGAAAACTAATTTCTTCCCCCAAATTGAAAAAAAAAGATGAGTAAAAGATGAGCCAACTGGCCAAATGGCGCCGCATAAAGTGTGCAGAGATCATATTCTGCAGTGTCGCTGTTAGGCGAATGCGGAACTTCAATGAAGCAAATCACTAGGACCCCGGACCTCATTCCTATTTTCTTTTTCTTCATCCTTTTTTGTAAAATATTTTTTCGTTCCGCTTATAGATGCTACTACACGATAAAAAGTTACAACTGAGGAAAAAATAAATAATTAACTTTACAAGTTAAAAAAATAGAAGTGCATCGCCTTCAAGTTCTAATTTTTATGATTATCGATAAACTCCTCGTAGATTTTATGTAAAATTGTTGATGTTTGCCAAGTGACGGACTTTGCCCAAAGAAAGAATAAAATATCACAATAGAAAATGAAGAGAGAGAGAGAGAGAACAATAAAAATAGGACTTTCATTTAAATTTTAAATACATCATGCTTTGTACCTTCAGTGGGCTCTAGCACATCTCATTTACCAGTTTTTAAATGTAATGACCTACAGATAAATCAAGATGGAATGCCTGAACACTTGAATAAAACCATATTACAAAGCACGATTCATTTCATACAAGAACATAGGAAATTTGACGCTTCCAAAATTCAAAAATATAGGACTATTGATGCCCAAATTCAATAATCATTTCTTCCTATTCCTCCACCAAATTCTGACTTATTTTCTCTTATTCAAACGTTTTATCATAATTTGAGAAACCAGGAAATTTACTGCACTTTAATCAAGACCAACATTAACTTGCCAAAATTCATGCTTTAGCGTTTTGCCCCAAGTTCGGCGACCCACAGACTCCGTCGACGAACTGCTCAAAACGACAAGCTATTCGTGCATCTACAAGTAATTTGTGAGTTCTGAGGGCTTGTGGCAGATAAATGTGACTATCCAAGGTGCTCTTGTCATATTCGAGTTTGCTATACCTGCGCATCCTCTGTTCATTGGTCTGTTCGCTCTCCATTTTGGCGTGCATACCCAAATTTCTGTTCATGAGTGTTACTGGGTTACTGTTTCACAACGACATACAACAAATTCAATCACCATATCCCATATCTCCTGTTCCTCACAAATTTATTCAAAACAATCTTAATAACTAATTAAATTTTATTAGCCTTGCAATAAAGGGATTTTAGCTAATTAAAACGAAATCTCAAACGATTGATTAACCTTGTAAGATGCCAAAATTACGCCTAACATGTTGGACGAATTACGGAAAGAGGTATTAAGAATTGCTCTCAAACAGTCAAAATGTTTCCGTTCACGAACTGAAGATAAAATTAAGATTAATTCGTTAAATATTGATCTTCAAAGCATTAAAGTTAATTAAATAATACTTCTTCCTTTGCGTGATTAATTTAGTCACAAGAGTAAAATGCAATCATAAATTGGGATAAAATCATATATTTCATTTTCCTTGTCTACTTTTATGGTTTTTTTCACATTTTTTTCGATATAAATGCCAAAAGATGTACTTTTTAAGAAATGTTTCTGCTTTATAGAGATTTAAAACGAGGTAAACAAAGTAATTGATTATTCGTTCGAGCTGCAGTAAATTTGAACTGATGAAAGCAGTGATTTTAAGCTTAATATTTAAAGAAATATTGTCTATTCTGACTTCTATAGACTCAAGCTTTAATTTCAAGGTTATATTTTTTGTAACCTCTATGGGCAAGAAATTGATAATTATGTGAAATTTGAACCCGTTACAAATTTTATAGTCATAGCATGTTTTGTGAAATTTGACAACAAGAAAAAGTTAATTTTTACAATGACTTTATGTCATCTTTCCCCCCTCTCTAACAATTGAGCGATCCCTGTTACTGATAAAGGAGATACAAATTTTATCTACTTCAGTACCGTAAAACTGACCTCAAATCACAGAATCTATGATAAATTTCGAGGAAAGCAACCGAACATCCTGTGGGCGACCTCCAAACCATCAACAATTAGTATCTCCCATCCTGACCACCAGTCTGGACAAAATTTCCAATCCCTTGGGTCGGGGTTCTGAACTTAAATTGATGATTATATGAAAATACTCATAGTACTCTCAGTTGTCGTGGAGGTAAACCCACGTTGTAGCAAGCTTTATGCATTATAGATTTTCTAAGCCTTCTAAAGGAGATGTTAACTGTATTTGATTTGGTTGGAGGTTGGATATCTTGGAGCCTACGTGATGTGAAATTCACTTTTTATCGGAGTTAAATTATGCGGTCGGTCGTCTACACCTCTAGATATGCTCTAATAAACATTAGTCTTGACCTCCAACTCTGCAGACGTAAACATTGAACACAGTACCATCGGGGTATTTAATAGAAAGCTAATAATTCCTTTAAAGTGCTAATATGAACTTCGTTAAAAGAATGCAGAAAATCAATACTTTAGACAAAAACCAGTCTTCCATTTATGACCATAAGTTGGAGGGTCAATTAAGGCAAAGCTGTGTAGTAAGTGCTATCATTGGAGTATCAGCTCAACTGGATCGCCTGAGTAAACGTTTGTCAGACTTTTTGCATTTATCATAGTCCGCTAATCAGCTAAATGGTAACCTTGAATGTCTTATTTAAAAACGTTCCACTGATTCCAGAGAATCATTCGACAGTAAAATTAACCATAAATGTTATGAAAATGATTCAAAAAAGCAGTCACATGTCTGAAAATTTAATTATATGTGGCGTAGCGCACGGAGGATCGGAACTCATCCTCAAATCTGAAGCTGATCTCGAGCACTGGTGAATTCTAATTAATTTTTAAAATTTCACCTCCATTATAGAAATGAATGATTCTGTAATGGCTACCGTTATCTGAAATATTGAGAGTTCATGTTTTTAACACATTTAAAATAGTTTTTGACATCGTGTATATGCAAAGAACATATAATAACACTAGTTATTGTTAGGAGATTAATTCTACAAAGGCAATAGTCACAATAAGATTAATTACATTTTCAAAAACGATAAAATTCTATTAACCATATGTAGAGACATTTACATGTTAACATTAAGTTTTTGACTTGTGTCTATTTTGGAAACAAATTAAGTTAAAACAGTATCTACGCGGCTGATACTACAAATTGAATGAACTTCGGTAACCTCTGACATGTTGAAAATGCTTTTACTAGTCTCGTCTACCTAACTCCCCCCCCCTCCTGTTAGATCATAAAAATGACTTAGAGCACCATGCCCGTTCACGGAATTAAAGTTAATTATCTTCAAGATTTGAATATTGAGCATGACCTCATCCAGAAACAGAAACATTTAATCATGTAAATTTGAGTTCTTGAACATTTGACCAACTGTGCAATTTATACTCCTTAGAAAAGAAGCATATAATACTAATATCATAATAACTTAAAATATCCATAATTCAAGGTAATTAATACGACC